AACGTCTAACGACAAGACCAGGGTCCTGAGCATCCAGTCCACGCTCACGGAGGCCAAGCAGGTCACCTGGAGGGCGGTGTGGAACGGTGGTGGCCTCTACATCGAGCTCCCGGCTGGGCCTCTGCCTGAGGGCAGCAAGGACAGGTGGGCCACTTTCCTGTGGGGCTATAGGGGATCTGGGGTCTGGTGGCTAATGGCCACATGCTCTCCTCAGTTTCGCAGCTCTCCTGGAGTTCGCGGAGGAGCAGCTCCGGGCCGACCACGTTTTCATCTGCTTCCCTAAGAACCGTGAGGACAGAGGTGGGTGTTGCTGCGGGCTCCCCAGGGAGGGAAGCTCTGGCACCCCAGGCTCTGACCCTGTGTCCCCCACAGCCGCCCTACTCCGAACCTTCAGCTTTCTTGGCTTTGAGATTGTGAGACCCGGGCATCCCCTCGTCCCCAAGAGACCCGATGCTTGCTTCATGGTCTACACGCTGGAGAGAGAGGACCCGGGCGAGGAGGACTAGGTGCCAGCCCTGCCCAGTGTCCCTGTGCCCTCTCCTGGGTTTGTCCACATGTCGTGATTGTGCAGAATAAACGCTCACTCCATTAGCGGGGTGCTTCTTTGAGCTGAATGCTGTGTTTGTCATACTCAAGTGTTGGCTTTAATTCTAAATAAAGGTTTCTATTTTACTTTTTTTATTGCTGTTTAAGGTGGTCAGGTGACCTGTGCTAGAGCAGCCTCCTTTGAAGCCTGGCAGAGATAGATAGTGTCACCTCCCTGGCTCAAACCCAATAAAGTGATCTTGCTCACCCGTCTTGTGTCTGTGTCCTGCCTCTGGGGCTGGGTTGGGCTCCTGTCAGCTGTGGCTCAGAACCAGGCAGGATTCTGGGATTTTGCAGTCCTGGCCTCCAGGCGCTGCTGAACCACTGCGTACATGGGTGGTAGGACTGGGGTGTCCTGGACGGTTGTAAAGCTGTGGAATCTGACAGCTCCCCAGGCGACTGGCCAAAGGTGGCTGTGATGTACTTTCACAGGGTTGAAGTGTCACCTGCTGGCCACGGTGGGGTGTGGGAGACAGGTTGGGCAGGAGCTGTGTGCTCAGCTGACCGGGGTGTAGACATGGGTACTCTTGTCACTGAAGTGGTCTCAGGTTGGAGCTGGGTTGTAGGTAGGACATAGGACTTCAGTTACAGCATTGGTGTTTGTGGTGGGCTCAAGGACCCAGCAAGGTTGAATGTGGGTGGTGTGAGCAGGAAAGGACCCCTGACCTCTGCTGTGTAAGCCCCTTCACCACCTGATGCCATGGTGCGTCTGGGAGACTAGTGGACGGGACTGAGGGGTGTGTGTGTGTGTGTGTGTGTCCAAGAAGGGGCCCGAGTTGAGACTAGTCATTTTAGGCTACTGCGTGCTTACTCTGTATAGGCCTGCTCTCGTGGAGCTCAGCCTTGGGGGGCGGGGCGATGGGTAGACCAGGAGAACTTGGCCTCAGGTGGGGTCTGTGTTGAGGGTTTGTGTGTATCTAGCTGGGAGGAAGGTTAGGTCCCAGTGGCCAGGCAGTCCCAAGTTCCAGGCGTCAACCATTTTGGAGCATCTTCCTCTCCTGGGCACATGGGGGTGCTGTGGGGTTACACATGCTGTCCAGTCACATAAATGGCTGCCTACCCTCATGGAGACCTGATCCCTCTGGCCAGCAGCATAGCTCCTTTGTTCTGTCTTTCAGGTAGGTATTTCATAGCCCAGGCTAGCCTTGAGCTCCCTATGTAGCCAGGGTGTCCTAGAATTCATGCTCTTCCTGCTCATGAGGGCTGGGGTGACTGGCTTGTGCCACTACCCCAGGTTGTCTTGTTTTTTGACCTAGTAGCAATGTATGGTTTGCCTGGGGACCCTGGTAGACTCAGCTGATGACAGGGACCCCCCTCAGGGATCTTGGGGGTCACATGTCCCACTGGACCACCAAGAGCAGTTTCTTGAGCTTTCAAGGTCTCAGGAACTCAGCTGGGAACCACCAGTCAGATTATGATGTTGGGGTGAGTTGTTACCTGATGAGGACCTGAGAGCCCAGGCCTTTTGGGACAGGTTAGGCTCGAGGCTCCCCGTTTGCCTGTGGCCAGCTCTCCCTGACCATGGCCTCCCTAGGAAACCGTAACAAGGCCACACCTGTCATCCTAGTCCCCAGAGGGCTGGGACGGGAAGATTTGGGTTACAAGCTGGTCTGGTCTACACAGCCAGACTAGAAAAAAGGCTAAGCATAGTCTCTATAGCAGAAGTGCCACGGGAGCCTGACACCCCCTTCTATCCGGGAACACTTGGGAGGGGGAGACAGTCACTCCCCTAGAAGGATGTACTCACAGGTGTGCCGGTAGCTTTGCTGAGGTAAACAGTTCGTGTGTGTAGGGGTTAACAGCACGCGGAGCCAAGCGATGTTAGCCAGACAGCGGGTCTCCCAGCAAGGCAGAGACCCTGGCACTCGTTTCTTCCCCTCCGTCTCCCTCCTCCCTCTTGAGACAGCATCTCTGTGTAACTGGCTGGCCACAAAGATCCTCTAGCCTCTGCCTCTCAAGTACAGGGGTTAAAGGTGGATGCCACCATGCCTGGCAACTTTGAAGGTTTTGAGTTTTGTATGCAAGTACATGTGTGCCATGTATGGGGGGTTGCCTGAGGGGACCCCGGGCATTGGATCCTCTGGAGGAGCTGGAGTCACAGGCCATTGTAAGCCAGCCAACATGGGTGCTGGGCCAAACTCAGATCCTGCAAAGCCATGCATGCTCTTAGCCGCTGAGCTTTCCCTCCAGCCCGTGCCTCCCTCCTGCCAAGGATGGACTGAGGGTTTCACATGCTAGGCAACTACTTGCCACTGACCACACCCTCAGCCTGGGTGATTCTAGGCAGGGCATCCACCCTCGAGCCAGGCCTATCTCATAACATACAAGTTGGCCTTGAAGTAATCTTACCTCAGTCTCCTAAGTAGCTGGAATAACAGTTTGGGAACATGTTTTCTTTTTTTTTCATTTTTCTTTATTAAGAAATTTTCTACTCACTCCATATACTATCCACAGATTCCACCCCCCGCCCCCATGTTTTCTTCTTGTTTGGACCATAAATGCCCTATATGGGGCCTCTGGGTTGTGGCTTCTTCCTGGGCCCGGGTAGCCGCCCCCACAGTGCGTGGCTGGAGTTACTCTTGCTGTTATGGGGATTTGGGGGCACATGTAGGCAGAGCATGTGCACAGCTAGGGTGCCTTTTGAGGAGACTGATGCAGTTCTTTGCTCCAGGGACCCCCTGAGATGGAGGTGACCCCACCTTAATGGTGCTCTGTGGTCATCGTGGGCCGCTTGCTTTCCCTGGACTTATTTCTTTCTCCCCTAGGAAATAGTGCAATCATCTTCAGGACACTAGGAATCACCCAGTCCAGGTCTGGGACAGGGATAATGTCCAGCCCAGAGGACATCGGGAGGAAACAGAGATGAGCCACTGTCCACACAGGGCCTAGTCCCGAAGAACTCGGCCCCAAAGCCAGGTCCCCTTGACAAGGGAAAGTGTCAGACCCCAGTGGATAGGAATACATGGACAGCTGTTAGGCCAGGCCTAGGATGGGGCGGGGCCGCCCCAGGGCCACCCCTCACCTCTGGCACCCTCAAGGATGGGATGGTGTGGAGACAGAAGCCAGGAGTTGAGACCCTGAAGTGAGTAAGCCCTGGGGCAGGGTAAGGGAGGTGCAAAGATTGTCACCCAGCACGAAGGAGGGGGAGGTAGAAGAATCCCAAGTTCAAGGTCATCCTCAGCTATATGGCTACATGAGTTTCTGTTTAAAAATAAAGAATAAAGCCCGGTGATGGTGGAGCACACCTTTAATCCCAGCGCTTGGGAGGCAGAGGCAGGTGGATCTCAGAGTTCGAGGCCAGCCTGGGCTACAGAGTGAGTTCCAGGATGGCCAGGGCTGCACAGAGAAACCCTGTTTCCAAAAACAAAAACCCCCAAAAGAATAAATTATAAAAAGACAGCCTAGTGTCTCAGAGCCAAGAGCTGTGGAGACTGCTCATTAGGGGAAACTGCAGGAGGCAGTGCATCCTGCGGCCTTCCCTTTTCTGAGGCTCATATTCTCCTTGGTGGGGCCACCTAGGAAGTCCTTGGTGCCTCTGTCCAACTACAGAGCTTGTGGGTTGTCTGCCAGAGAACTCTCCCAGCCCTGTTCTGCCCTGCTGCGTGGCCACAGGAGAATCGCTGTCCCTCTGTCCACGGTAAGGGTATCTCCCACATCCTGTCTCCCACATTCTACCACGGCCACCTACACTTTTCCAACTTATATTCACTTTTATTTTGAAACCGTCTCTTGTAGCCCACCTGCCCGTGAGCTCCTGAAGCTTCTGCTGAGATGACAGACGTGTCCCACGGCTGTTATCCGAAGTTTCTGTCCTGCCCACCAGTTCCCGAATATCCAGCAGCTGCTTCCCAGATAATTGACTCAGAGGCTTAGTATTACTTGTAAATGCTGGGCCAGTAGCTCAGGCTTATTACTAACTAACTCTTACACTTAAATCAACCCATATTTCTATTCTCGTCCTGCTTCCTCTGTCTGTCTGGCGATTGACTCTGCCCTTCCTCTTCCCAGAATTCTCCTAGTCTGGTCACCCGGCCTACACTTCCTGCCTGGCTACTGGCCAGTCAGCATTTTATTAAACCAATAGGAGTAACTAATCTTTACGGTGTACAAGAGCACTACCCCACAACCCATAGCTGCTGCTGACGCCATTTGTCTGAGGTGAGGTAGGTGAAGAGCCCCAGCCTCAGCCCTGAGGTCTCTGACGGTTCAGCCTCCAGTTTGTTATGTACCTAAGGCTGACCTTGAACCCCTGATCCACCTCCCCAGGGCTGGGTTGACCACAGTGGTCTCTGCCAACTCCAGCTTCTCTCCTGGGTCACCCTTGCAGCCAGAGCCACCTAGCTTCCCAACCTTGAGGGAGGGACCCGGCCACACTGTCTCCCACGCCCACATGGGAATAATAATAAAAACCTGACTTTTGTATTAAATCATTTTGTTTTATTGGGTTTCAGTCAAACACAGCGGGGTGAGGATAGAGGTTGGGAGTGGGGAACCCCAGTGTAACGCACTGACATTTTGTGACCCCTAACCCTGCCGAATGTACCCCTCCTTGTCTTTTAATGACTCTAAAGGCACTTGGATTTCGTTGGTGGTTGTTTTGAGGGCCCTCAGGGTTGCCATGGCAACGGGCTAAGAGGCTGCTCCAGGACTAAAGGGGTCAGTCCTGTCCGGCTCAGGGGTGGAGTCTAGAAATGCCATTCTGCCCAGTCACGGGTGTCCTGTGGACCAGTTTGTGTGTGATGCAAAGGTTGGGAACGGCAAGGCCAAAGGGTCCCAACATGTTCCCAGCCAAGTTCAGACCAGCCACGCTTGGTCTGAGGCTTCGATTGCATGGACTTGCCTTTCTCTCTGGACACAATCAGGAGGGCTCTGCGAGGCCTGGCCTCAGCACACAGGGCAAACGCTGCCCGCTCAGATCTGTAACGGAAGACACCGAGGTGCCCAGATGACCACAGCTGCCACAGCTGGGCAGGAGGAGAGCTGCAGTCTGTCTTACCCCAGGTCCCCTCCCTCAACAGTGCTCTAACCGCAGGGGCAGAGGTGGACACCGGGAGAAGCCTGGTTGGGATAGGGTACCGGTTCTGATGTCTCAGCCCCTGCTGCTCACCGGCCACAGGCGACCACATCTGCCGAGTGAGTGGCAAAGTGGATATGGCTGTCTAGAGGCACTCCTCCTGCAAGCAGATGTCCAGGACAGCTAGGCAGGGCGGAGGTACCTGTAGAGGACATGGGGACATGGCTTCTCCTGGCAGGTGGAAGTTCCTGGTGGGGGATAGGGCTCCCTCAGTGACTCTGAGCCACTCAGCAGGGCCTGGGGGAGCCCTGGGTTGGCTGTTGGCCAAGTAGTGGTGAACAGGAGCTGGGCCAGGGCACACCCTGTCCTCCGAGGGTCCCTGCAGCCCTGGGCCTTGTGTGTACCCGGCTGTGCCAAAGTGGGGCACCCACTGTAAGCACTGTGCCTGTCCGGTGTCCCCAGGGGCCTCCCACCATAGGCATCGGGGGACCTGACTGCTGAGACTTTGCCCCCACAGCCTGCACCTGCCTAGGGAACCTCGGACCCTGAGTGTCCCCAGCCACTTGGGGTCCCAGCACAGCAGCCACAGCAGAGGGCGGAAAAGACAGGCTGAAACCGCTAGAAAACACTTCAGGAACTGCAAAAGGTGTGATCTGCTCAAACCAGTCCCGTAGATGTCTACAAAAACGAGGACGTTCTGCCTCCATGCTTGCCCCTGGAGAAAATATGCATAGGTGGAGATTATCTGGGACTAGATGGAGGCTGAGAGGTTCCCCCACCAGCCCACCGTGGGGTCGGCTCAGATCATCTTCATGTTGAACTTGCGTGCGCCACCCTGGCCGGCCGCGGCCGTCGGACCGTCCACCTTGCGGAAGGAATATTCCACGGAGAAGTTATTCTTGTGCTGCCCTCGGCCGCGGCTCCACACGAAGAGCAGCAGGAAGCAGAAGAGGACCACGCCCAGGAAGGTGATGCACCCCATGGCGGTGGACACCAGGATGGTGGTCAGGTCCAGCGGGAACCGGACGCCCACCTGCGTCTCGTTGTGCCCATCGCCCTGGGTCCGGTTGGCGGCCGGCTGGACGGTCAAGGTGGCGAAATATGTGTCATTTCCTCCGGCGTTGCTGGCCACGCACGTGTAGGTGCCGCTGTCCTGGGGCCGCGTGTCCGCCAGGGCCAGCGTGCCCCCGGGCAGCACGCGTGCCCGGCCCCGGCTGGCAGCCGTCACCGTGTGGTGCTGGGGCGTCACCCAGACCACCGTGGGCACGGGCTCGCCCTCGGCCCGGCACAGGAAGCGCACGTCGTCCCCCTCGGTGGCCGTCACGTGCTGCAGCCGCCTCTCCCGGATCTTGGGCTTGCGACACACGAAGTACTCAAAGAGCACCGAGTCCGGGAGGATGTGCAGCGCGTCGCCGCGCACCTCGGCGGGGGGTGGCGCAGGCCGGGAGCCTGCCGTCGAAGTTCAGGGTCTTCCGCCTCTGCACGATCCACAGCAGGCGGCAGTCGCAGGCCAGCGGGTTGCCGTCCACGCGCAGCGTCTCGAGCGTGTTCACCGAGTGGAACGTGTTCTCCTCCAGCGTGGACAGCAGGTTGTCCGAGAGGTTGAGCAGGCGGATCTGCCGCAGCCCCACGAAGGCCTGCGGCTCGATGACAGCCAGCAGGGCGCCCGCCAGGTGCAGCTCGCGCAGCCGCACCAGGTCCCGGAAGGAGCCCCGCGGCACGGTGCTGATGGGGTTGTGCGACAGGTTGAGGCACGTGAGGTGGGCCTGCTGTCGCAGCGCGGCGGCCGGCACGGCCGTGATGTTGGTGTGCGTGATGGACAGCGACGTGAGGTTCAGCCCGCGCAGGCTGCCCGGGGCCACCTCCTCCAGCAGCGGCCAGTTGTCGATCTCCAGGTGCGACAGGCCCGGGAGCTTCTGGAAGTTCTGGTCCTCCAGGGCGGCGATGGCCAGGTGGCGCAGGCGCAGGGCGCCCAGGCCCCGCAGGTGGCCCAGCGACTCCGGGGACAGAGAGGTGAGGTTGCAGCGCTCCAGGGTGAGCTCGGCCAGCCCCAGCAGCCCCGCGAAGGCCCTGCGGGAGATGAACACCAGGTCATTGTCGCCCACCTCCAGCCGCTGCAGGCTGCGCAGGTCCTGGAAGCTGAAATCCAGCAGGATGACCAGCTTGTTCTCGCTCAGGTCCAGCAGCGTGAGGCTGTCCAGGTGCGTGAACACGCCGGGCGGGATGAGCTTCAGCTGGTTGCCACGGAGACGCAGGATGCGCAGGCGGGGCAGGTTGGCGAAGGCCCCGGGCTCCACGTGGGCGATCACGTTGTGGTTGAGGTCCAGCTCCTCTAGGGTGGGCAGCGAGGCCAGGTCCCCGGGGTTCAGGCAGCGGATGCGGTTGCGGTTGAGCTCCAGGAGGCGCGTCTCGGCCGGGATGCCGTCGGGGATGGCGGTCAGCCGGCGGCGTCCGCAGGCCACGGTCCGGGTGGACGCAGAGCACTCGCAGCGCGCGGGGCAGCCCGCGGCCAGGGGAGGAGCCGTGGGCAGCAGCAGCAGGTGCAGGCCCAGCATAGGCAGCCAGCAGGTCATGGTGTAGGGTCTGGGCCTAGGGCCGCGCCAGCATCGTCCAGGACACCTGGAGTGGGAAAGGGGAGCGTGACATCATTATCCATGGCACTTGGGCAATTCTAATCCCAGCCAGACACACCCAGAGACGCTGACCCACGACTGCACACTCAGGAAATCTCCCCACGGATACCCACGGTGACAGTACACGTGACAGAAGCCCATGGCCCACGGACAGACGGCAGAAACATAGCATGGGCCATCCACACCGGAGCATGACTCGGCCAGGAAAGGGAGTAAGGCTCTGACGCACGCCGCCTGCAGGGCCACTGAGGACGCTGTGCTCAGTGAAAGACCAGCTCCTAAAGCCCACTCAGTAGGACCCCGGGCAGCACCCAGAACACGTGGATGAGGTTAAAAACAAGCTCTCTTGTAGCGCAGGCTGGCCTCAAGCTCACTGTGTAGCCCAGGCTAACCTTGAAGATGGAGGCACGGCTGAGTGATACCTGAGCCTGAGAACCTAAGAAAGACAGGAAGGACCCTGCCCAGGGCCTTGGAGGGACGGAGTATGCCAGGCCTAGTGGACACCCTGGAACTGTGACAGAGGACATCTCCCGCCAAGGACACCCAGTTGGTGACTTATGGTGACCCCCATGGCTGTGGGATGCTCTAGGAGTCAGGTACTCTAGGATGGCCCTGACTCCAGGTGTGGACGGAGGGCCAGAGTGGGCAGGATGCTGAGACTTCCTGCAGTGCCTGCCTGGCTAGGCTGGACCAGGGTTTCCCCAGGCAGCCTGACTACAGCCCAGACCTAGGGGTCCGGGGTGGGGGAGGGACAGCTGGACTGGGCTGCCTGGCCTCTTTTGCAACATGGTTTTCCATCTGCCAGGCAGCTATTTATAGCATGTTAGCAGCTGAAGCCCCCCAGGCAAGACCTCTCGGTCTGTGTCAGCCTGCCTGTCTTCTCAGTGTTCACAGACTGAGTACGCCTGGCTTGTGAGTACAGAGACTGGAAGGCACAGGTGCGGAGGAGAGCCCCTGCCTGGAATCCCCCAGTGAGGGGCTGGGGGCGTGGTCAGGGTGGAGCCCCTGCCTGGAATCCCCCAGTGAGGGGCTGGGGGCGTGGTCAGGGTGGAGCCCCGCCTGGAATCCCCAGTGAGGGGCTGGGGGCGTGGTCAGGGTGGAGCCCCGCCTGGAATCCTGCCTTCCCTGCTGTCTCTCCCGGTGTTTGGTCACAGATGTGGAGCCCAGAGTAGGATGCAGGCCTCTGCATTCATTCTCCATTTTGTGTTTTGAGACTGTGTCTCTCAGTGGGACCCGAAGTCTGCTGCCTGGGTTAGGCTGTCCAGCCATGAGCCCTAAGGATCCTCCTACATATGTGTCAGTCAGCTGAGATGCAGAAGTGTGCCCTTGTGGCAGCTTCGCATGTGGGTGGTGGGGATTTGAACTCAGGTCTCCTGGCTCGTGTGACAAGCCCTTCATGACTGAGCCATCCCCATCCCCTCTGCTCACACACAGCCTTCTGCAAGCCACAGCAGGGCTCACTCCGTGAACCCCTCACGGGTGTGTGGTTTTTTGAGCTGGGGCCTCGGGTGACCCAGGGTGGTCTGAACACCGAACACTCTGTGTTTCGGCCCACAAGTAGCTGGGCTCAGGAAAGAACCTCTAGTTCTGCGAGACAGAGGCACGGACTGGCAGGGCTGGAGTCTCTGGTCACCGCCACCGAAGCACAGCCTCCCTGTGCGAGCCCTGTGGCCCCTGCACCCTCTCTGACCCCGGCTTGTCAAAGCTCGGCCACCAGATCCCTCCGGGGCACTGGCAAGTGTTCTCGCTATAATTACTCCACCAGGCAGGGACACAGAGCTCTTGAGCCAGCCCAGCGGGGGCCACTCAGAGGGTGACCTAGTTTTTCAACTCTAACCTCTCCTGGCAGGCCTGGCCCTGTCATCTCCTCTGCGGGTGGGTTAGAAAATCCTCGGGGGGTGGGGTGGGGGAGGGGGCAGCTATCTGAGGCGACTGTCAGCCCTCCACCTCGGACCCTGCCCCTCGTTGCTGTATGCCTGAAGGAACTTACTTGCCCTCTCTGGGCCTTTGCTGAGGTGGGGGAGTGGAGTCACAGGTGCCCGAATCCCCTCCCTGTCTCCTTGCCCTCAGGTGAGGACGCTGGACGCCCCAGGCAAGGGTAAACCCTCTCTGAGCCTCTGAGACCCTGAGCACACTGCGGGGCGAAGGCTGCGGACCCCTGGTCCCTGATGGCAGCGGGGAATTGGAATTCCAGGGTGGCTCCTGCCACTGGGTCCCGGGCCTCTGGGCTGAGGTCCCTGATGTTGGAGAAGGCCGGGCGAGGGGGTCTAGGGCACTGGGAAGTGGGGTCGTGGGGTGCAGAGAGGATGTGGGGCTCACTAGCCCCCTAGAGCGGGCGAGCATGGCTCTGGCAGGCCGTGCCCCCACCTCCATTCCCCCTCCTTGCTCAACCGTTGGGTTCCGTCCCTAAATCCAGCCACCGCGGTCTAGTCCCTCATGTGGCCACTTCCTCCTCCTGAGACTGACTAGAAAGTCCAGCTTCAACGTGTTGCAATCATCCAGCCGTCAGAAGCCCCCCCATCAACATGCCGGTCAGTACAGAGCACTCAGCCTCACACGGAGTTCCCCCTGGGCCTTTATAAACCACCGGTTTCCTACGGGCCACCGTCTCCTCTATCCAGAGGCGCTCCTCTGTCCTCGGGGACAAATACCCCTTCCTGTCCCTTGTCCCCTTCCCCTTCTCCCTCATCCCTATCTCCTGTGTCCCCGATCCCTGCCCTCTGTCCCTGTGCGGCAAATAAATCTCCTTTGTGCCGAGATCGTGGTCTGGGGGTCCTTTCGCCGCGTGTGGCCTTCGGGGAGAGACGCCCACAGAGCCATCTCTCTAGGTCCTGGTCCCGCCTGGAGTGTCTCACCTTTTTGTGTTCTTGCTGTGGATTCTGAGACACTACAGCCCCAGCAGGCCTCACAGTGTCAGCAATCCTCCTGCCTCAGTCTCCCAAGTGTTGACAAGTGTGAGGCAGTAGGACCCGCTAAATGGTCATCTTTTGTCCTGTGTGCATCACCCCGGGTTCCCCCGAGTCCCACCGCAGGGACAGAGGCCCATCTCCTCACACCCCAGTCTCACACCTGGTGACTTCAGCTGTCCTGACTCCACCCTCACACAGGCAGGAAAGGGGGTGCTTCGCTCAGCCCCCACAGACACCCCACCAGGTGCTCACAGCTCTGTAAAAAACTAAAAATAAAAAGATACCCCAAACCCACTGGGGGCCGTGTCACACACCTGCTCTCCCAGTGCCCCAGAAGCTGAGGCAGGAGGATTGTGAATTTCAGGACAACCTTCAACTTAGTGAGACCCGCTATCAAAATAAAAAAGGGGAAAGTGGCTGGGGAGATGGTTCAGTGATTAGAGTTCCGAATGCTCTGCAGGGTTCGGGTTCCAGCACCCATGTCGGGGCTCACAACCCCTGTAACTCCGTTTCCAGGGGGCCCAGCGCCCTCTTCTGGTTTCCTGGGACACTGCACACGTGTGATGCAGTCAGACACTCAGGTAACATTCCGTACATATAAAATAAATAAATAAATCTGAAGAAAAAATTAACCAAGCATGGCGGTACATTTCCTTAACCCCAGCACTCGGGAGGCAGAGGCAGAAAGATCTCTGTGAGTTCGAGGCCAGCCTGGTCTACAGAGTGAGATCCAGGGCAGTCAGGGCTACACAGAGAAACCATGTTTCAAAAACCAAAACCAAAACCAAAAAAACCACAAAACCCATACCCTCCAAACCCAAATAAGTTAAAAACTAAAATGTATATCAGGCAGTGGTGGCACACGCCTTTAATCCTAGCACTCAGGGAGGCAGAGGCAGGCGGATCTCTGTGAGTTCAAGGCCAGCCTGGGCTACAGAGTGAGTTCCAGGACAACATAGAGAAATCCTGTCTCGAAAAACTAAAATAAATAAATAAATGAATGAATGAATAAATAAATAAATTTAATTTAAAAAATGTAAAACAGGGCTGGAGTGTGGCTCAGGGGTGGAGCCCCGCTTAGAATCCCCCAGTGAGGGGCTGGGGGCGTGGTCATGGGCGGGGCATTGGTCTAGCATGTGAGAGATGTGGCTTCCATTCCTAACACTGCAAAAATAAAGGATAAACAAAGGGATAGTTTTGTCCCCAAAGGTCCCTGTGAGGCTCTGCTCCAGACAAGAGGAGCAGACAGCTGCCCTGTGGACCTCTCTCACCCCCGCCCCACGGTGGAAGCCTGGACGCCAGGCTGCCTGGACTGTCTCATGCAGCCACCCTTGAAATTGCCTTCGCGGGGCTTAGGGGGTCTGACAAGCCCGGTGTGGACCCCTGTGCAGGGGAGAGCCCAGCCTAAGGCTTCAAGGACACGAGTCATTAATATGCATGAGAAGCCACTGCAGCGGCCTCGGCAGGGCCTGGGAGCCTGGGCCGGCTGCAGGGTCCGGCTGCCCCGTCACTGTCCTTCCTGGAGCCCCACGGTTTCCAGCGGACCCCAGGGCCTCTCAGTACATATGACAAACCCTCTCACCCAAGCCACCGTCACCCCAAAGGTACGCCGGCTCCAGCCCCGGGGTGTCCACAGATCTATGTCCTGTCTCCGGGCATTTCCTGCCATCGAGACCCACACTTGGTGGCTGGCTGCGTCCTGTCCCTGCGACCAATGAGGGTGAACGGACAGAAAAAATCGGAACACAGAAATCAGCTGAAGGTTTGGAAAACCTTCCGGAAGGAGGTGAATCTGAGGCCAGGGAAGGGCGGCACCTGGGACCGGGTCACCCCTGTACTGTGCCCAGGAGGACTGGGGATCCCCAGGCACTCAGTGCCTGGCCAATAGGGAGCCACGGAGGAACGCCCAGCAAGAGAACGGCCGGTCAGAACTCCGCCTGGAGGCCTGAGTTCCATCCCGGACCCACGCGGTGGAAGGGAGTGATACCAACCCAGCCAATCGTCCTCCGACGGCCACACGTGTGTTCACACATGCACACACAGAGTCCCGACACCCAGCGCCAGGGGTCTGCAACCACGTCCCTGTGGTTCAAGCGAGACCTTCATCTCTCTTGAGCCTCAGTTTCCCATTTTGCTGGAAACCAAGCAGAGCCCCTGGGCTGCGGTGTGAAGGAAAACGCGGCCTAGCAGCTGCTCCACAGACTGGCCTGCTTCTAGAAGTTTCCACCAGGTGCTGCCTGGATCAGGCGTGCAGATCTCCAACTCACTCATTCAACGAGCATTTAGTGGATGCCTACTGTATGCCTGGCGCTGTTCTCAGTCTTTGTGGAAATGGGACCCTCCTGAGGCCCGGGGACCGGTCACCTTCTGTGTGCAGTCAGGACGCTGCCGGTGGGCCCAGGCTGAGAACCGTCCGGGGTCACTGTGGCCCAGGGTCACCTCGAGACGGTCAGGGGGAGACGGTCAGAAAGATGTGAAGATTCTGTGACATGGGTTCTCAGAGGGGGGACGGGGCCAGGAGCCAAGGGATGCAGGCCTCCAGACACTGAGACTGGGGACCGGGGCTCTCTGGGCCGCCTCCCCTGCCCGGGTCTGAGGAGGGGGTGGCTTCTTCCGGCAGCCTGGGGGACTCTTACCCAGGGCCACCGTGCTTTGGAGGAGGGAGTGGCATGTGGGTTCCCGGCAGCCCGGCAGGTTCTGTTGCTGGGGGACGAAGGTGCTGCCCGCCCTGGGGTCTGACGTGCTCTGCCACGCCAGGCTGTGGGGACCTGCTCCAGGCCCCCCAGGAGCAGAGGCCGCTCCTCCCAGCCCCCCACTCTCTCTGAGTACAGATTCTGGGGGCCGGCGGGGTGGGGGGATTTGACAGAGAAGTGTTCAGTCCACGGGGAGGCAGAGTGTGCTGGGGGATCCCAGGTCCCTTGTCCCCTCTTAGGCCACAAAACACTGAGGCCTGTTGGGAAAGCATGCATCTCTGTGGTGGCTCCTGTCTGTCACCCCTGGGTCCCCCCACCACAATAAGAGTACAGGGATAAAGTGGGGTGGGGACCGGCCCGGCACACTCCCACGAGCACTCTGAGTGCACTTTTGGGGACTCTCCCAGCCCCCCACCTCCAGGGCTGGTCCGCTCTTCCGTCCTAGATCTAGGTTCTCCTGGGGCTTTCAATCCACGACAATTCATTAAAGCCCTAATTAACCTCCCATCTGCCATGCGTCCCTGTCCGCTGTCTTGGGGGGCAGGGGGGCCTCCTGACCCAATTTCTTTAGTAGCGTGTGCCTGAGGGGCGCAGTGGACTCCCCACCACCCACAGCAGCAGGGAAGGAGAGGAAGGTTCCAGACTTGGGAACACTTAGCCCCTGGTATGTGCTGTGCCCGCTCGCCCGCAGAGCAGAAATGGCAGCACTCGGGGAAGTGGGGAGACGAGTCTGGGGGTCAGAGCGAACCCCAGCTCTGTTTCTGCCAAACCCCAACTCCTCAGGGTTCTCAAGGCTCAAGACTGACAGGGGAGGTAGTGGGCGGCTCACCCCGGCTGCCCGCCCCCCACCCCGAAGGTTGCTGGGAAGTTCTGCTAAAAGGCTTCCTACCTGGTGAGTCGCTAGTGACTCAGGATGCCCGGGAGTGACAGCCCCGTGGGTAGAGGCACAGAAACCTCGGCTTTGGGACCTCGTGTGCTCCCACCCTTCCAGGCGCGATCACAGCATGGCTGCATCTGGGGGTGGATGGCGGCGGCCACCCCCACTCTACAGATGGAAACACTGAGGCCCGCCGCGCATGCGTGCTGCATGGGGGGGAAGTGGTGGCCTGGATGGAGGGGCAGTCAGGAGGCTGAGGGGACCACCCCCGAGCACCCCCATCCTGGGTGCTTCTTCCTCTTTCCCCACCTCACTTGGGTGTCTGTGTGGAGGGGACACCCATGGGTCACCGGACGCCATCCGAGCGGCTGCTGCAGCTCGGAGGGGCCGGGGCCGAGTTTTGAACCCTCAGGACACCGAGGGGTGCTGTTCGCAGCTGAGCCCCTCCACCTCCTCTCACCCCGAAACACCCTTCTTACAATCTCTGTAGCCCGGATGCCTCCTCCCGGGAGCCTTCTTGGGTCACCCTCAGCCTGACAGATCTGCTCTTGCTAAAAGTCTCCACCAGGTTCAAGTCCCAACAGCCCCTCCCCACCACCAAAGGCAGGCACCCGGTGTCCCCAGGAAATGAGGGGTGTCTCCGGCCTGGCCTGGGTTCCAGGTCCCCCCACCAAGAAGCTGCCTGGCACCGACACAGATTCCCAAATGCATCAGACCCCCAAGTTCTGAGTCCTCCCCACCGGGAGGAGGGACACCTGTGTCTTAGGGACTCCGGCGTTGGGAGCCCTCACTCTGGAGCTGGGGTGGGAACACGCACCCGTGTCCAACTGGAACCCAAGCTCTGCGTCTCCCAACTTGTTGAATGGGGCCCAGGGGCCTCCCTGGCCAGGCCCCAGGACCCAGGGGACGCCAGGCCTGGCCTCTGGGATGGGATGGACAGACGCCCCCACCACCCTGGCTGCTCCCGGGACACAGGCCTGCAGAGCGTGTGTGGGGTCCGTCTAGCCTCCCAGTCCCTCCCTACGGGAACGGGACCCCAAACACGCGCGACTCCTCGCGTGCAGACCCCCCCCCCCAATTCATCTCGCGCGCATCGCCCCGCACTGGCTGGCGGGGGATCGCAGGGCGCCAAGCCGCGGCTCCATCCCGGGTGTCCCCCTGCCGCAGTGCGCATCCCCATTCCGCCGTTCCCCGGGGTGCTCCCGGCGCTGAACCCCTCAATCCCCTCGACTCTGCATTCCCGGAGGCGGAGAGAACCCTGAAGTTTCCCGGGGGCGCAGAGGGGCTGGAGGGGAGCGCGCGAGGGGGGTCCGAAGGGGGGGTCCCCGGACTGCCGCGGTGCCACTCACCTGGGCGGCTCCGCCTCGGACAGGGCGCGGGGGCCGCTCGGAGCCGCCACGAGCCGCCGCCGCCGCCGCCGCCGCCGCCGCCGCCACCACCGCCTCCCGGGCTCCGTCGTGCGCGTCCCCGCCGCGCATCCCCGTGCGCATGGTCAGGGAGCGCGCGGGCTGCAAGGGGCGCGCGCGCGACACGTGTTGGAGCAGGTCCGGGGCAGATGGGGACTCAGCCCCCAGGCACCCCGAGTGCCTGGCACCTCCCGGTCCTACGGGCCTCCGCAGACACTGAGTTCCGGGAAATGCTTGGGGGCTCCCCAGATACGGCAGGCTGTCCCGCTGGAACCTTCTGGAAAGCGCCAACCCCTCCACTGTCCCCTCCCTCCCAGGCCAGGCCTCCACCGTCTGCACCGCACCGCACACCTGCCTGGTTGGCCTTGCTCCTCAGTCCCCGCTGCGCCCCTGCCTGCCTTCCTCCACCCGGCACCGCACCGCCACCCCGACTCTGCGCCCCACCGTGCTCCCCTCCCTCGCTGTGCTCCTCAGCACACAGCCTGGTGGAGGTAGATGGGCGCATCCACTACACAGGGGAAACATGAAGAGAACCCCGAGATAAGAGGGGGAGCCAGAGAGATGGCTCAGAGGCGAAAGCATGGGCTGCCTTCTCAGAGGACCCGGGTTCGGTTCCCAGCACCCACAGCGAAGCTCACAACCCGCTGTAACTCCAGCCTCAGGGACCCGACGCCCCCTTCTGGTTTGTGGGTTCCCACATGCACACACAGAGTTAAAAATAAATCTTTCAAAACAGAGGTGAGTGTGCCTGTCCCTGCTCATGAGAGGCCTCACCGCACCAGCAGCGGCCTCAGCTGGAGGAACCCCCCCCCAGGCTGGGAACCCGGGGCTCCCCCGTGGGAACAGGAGTTGGGATGTGGACCGCCCCAGTTGGGGGTTCAGGCCAGGGGTCCAGGATGGAGGGTGTGAGAGGGGAGACAGTGGCTGGCAGTCCCTCAGAGCAGAGGCCCCGTGAGCATCCATCCTGGGGGCGCGGAGCTGGCCGCGTCTGGCTCAGTCCTCGCTGTAGGGAGGCGAGTGCTGGAGGCTCAGCTCCAGTGAGGGGTGACCTATGGGCCTAGCTGCAGGGAGCCGGGGGCCTGTCCTGCCCTGTCCGCCCCCCCAAACCGTGTCCGCCCTCTGTGTCCTCCATCGGTTCAGTAGCAGCCTGGCGTTGGCTCCGCCACCTGTGACTCAAGTGGGCTCCATTCCCAGACCGTCACGTTGGCCAGAGGCCCAGAAACTGCATCCTGGGAGACCGTGGACCAGGTCCCTTCCCGAGTCACGGTTGGGAAGCTCCCTTCCAAGCCAGGCAAAAAAAAAGCGACCCCAAATATCCTTGGAGACAGGCCCCCAACTCCACATCGGGCTGGCCCTGTCTGTGTACTGATACGCTGTGGGACCCCAGGCAGGCTGCGCCCCTTCTCGGAGTCTCTGAGGTCGTGACAACCTGATTGTGGGAACTCCCAGGGGAGGAATTTGTTGAGTGCCTACTGTGTACAAAGCTACATGGTATACTGGACTTTCCATGGATGCGGAGCGCTACAGTCGAAGTTAGGGTGGATCTAAGCGGGATCAGGGCCACGGCTGACTGCCTGGACCCCATTCCAGGTCCTGCCCATCTTGTCTGAGTCCAGGCTTAGCACTCACCTCTGAGGATCTGGGAGCTCCTGCCTAGTGTGCAGACTGCAGCTTTAATGACAGGGGACGGGACGGACCCCAGGGCTCTTAGCGGCTCTATCCAGCTTCCTCTTGCTGCTCTGGCCTTGAGAGAGAGCAGGGAGAGACCATGGTGGAGGGGGGACTGGCTCCCACCTCAGGACCTTTGCACATGCTGTTCCAGTGCCTAGCAGAGCGCCGTCCTCAGCCGTCTGCCCCACCCACCCCTGCTTCCTCCTGACTCACATCCCCACCCGGCTGCCTTCTGTCCCCCGTTCCCAGCCTCCCTGCAATTTCCTAAGATATCCTATAATCTACTCATTCATCCTATTTATGTCTGCCCTCCCCCCTTCCCCCTGCAGCCCGGCCTCCCTGCATGCATTTGGCGGCCCGTAGACTCTCCGTTGAACTAGCGACATGGGTGCTGGAGAGCTGGATCGGGGTGGTCTGAGGAGGGAGATTGTGGGGTTTCTGAAGACCAGGGCATTCTCTGCTCCCCCCCCCCCCCCAGCCAGTGTGTCCCTTCCTGTCCCCCGTAGGAGTCAGCTGAGGACAGAGATGCGCTTGAGCAGTCCATACCGCCAGTACTTAATAGACACTAGACGTGCGTGTGAGGTCTGTGGTGCCCCTGGGATGGGGTGGTGGGTGTGAAGTAGTCCCCAGGCCCAGCTGCTGTGTGACGGTGGGATGTCTCCTGGCCTCTCTGAGCCCAGCATCCCCTGCAGGCTCCCCCACCCCCACCCCGTAGCTCCTCAGAGCCGCCTCCGTGGGGAGGCTGCGTGGGAGAGCTGCGGGAGGGTCACAGCCTTCCAGGCAGTGGGGCGGTGAGCACCTGGTTGCCAAGGTTACGACCACCTGTGGATGGGACGTTGCCATGGAGATGGACCACCTGGGTGGCAAGGGTGGCTCCTGCTTGGTGTGTGGCTGGGGGTGTACGTGACTGCCTGGGAGGGGCAGGCGTGCTCGACTCAGCGTGTCTGGGACGGCACGGGGGTCCCCACGGTGAACTTTGGTGGGGCCCTGATGCACAGGAACGGGTTTTGAAAGGAACGCCCCGTGTCTCTCCCTCCCGGACTATGACTGACAGTTACTAAGATGTGAAGCGCGGGTTCCGGGTGCCATGGGCCTCCCCCAGGGTTGGCAGGCCCAGCGCTGCTCACCCTCAGGTCAGCGAGCACCCTCTCTAAGCTCTAACGAGCCCGTCTGTGCCTTGGGAGCCACGTTAATGCCCCCGCGGCTTTGAGCACGTATGTGGTGTTCACGCGGCCACCTGGGGTCAACAACACACGTTTGGACAGTTCCAGGAGGTGGGGACACCACCTGGAGGGGAGTTCGGAATCACAGAGAGGAAGGAGCACGGTGCCGGTGCCGTTTGCCAGGGCATGTGGGAGAGGCCTTCACACGCCTCAGGAAGTGGACTCTGCTCCCAGAGGGAAGTTACTAGAAATCACTTAAAAACGGCCTCTTGTTCCAGGCCAGCCAGGACTACAGGGACCCTGTCTCAAAGCACAAACGGCCGAACCCCAGGTGGAGCTCCGGGGGTCCAACCGGCGAGCGAGAGGAGGGACTGTGTGAGCCAGAGATCTGAGACCAAGGTTGGAAAAGGCACAGGGACAAATAGCCAAACTAGTGGAAGCGCATGAACTGAGACCCAACGGCGGAGGAGCCCGGTGGAACTGGACCCGGCCCTCTGGGTAAGTGGGACAGTTGACGAGCTTGATCGGTTTGGGAGCCCCAGGCAGTGGGACCGGACCTGTCCGTGGTGCATGGGCCGGCTTTGTGGAGCCTGGGGCCTGTGCTGGGACCCTTTGCTCAGCCTTGGTGTGGGAGGAGGGGACTGGACCTGCCTGGGCTGAGTCTGCCAGGCTGGGCTGACCCCCCAGGGGAGACCTGGCCTTGGAGGAGGTGGGAGTGGGGGGTGGATTGGGGGGAGGACTGAGAAGTGGAGGGGGGGGAGGACGGGGGAGTCGGTGGCTGATATGTGAAATTAGGTTAATTATAAAATAAAAATATTTTTTAAAAAAAGGAAGGAAGAGGGAAGAAGAAGGTGTGACCACCGGGCCCGAGAGGACAGCTCGGTACTTGGAGCACTGGCTGCTCCCCCAGAGGACCCGGGTTCCACGCCCAGCACCCAGAGGGCGGCTCACAACTGTCCGTAACTCCAGTCCCAGGGACCCGATGCGGCCTTCTGACCTGCAGACACTCCACACGGGGCGCAGACAGACATGTAGACAGCACAGCCTCATATACGGAAAACAAGGCAAGGAGCGCTCAGCGGGTGAAGGTGCTTGCTGTCAAGTACGAGGATCTAAGTTCAAACCCCCAGGATTCAAAAGCTGGGACACACACACTCACACACATACACACACACTCACTCACATACACACTCACACACAAACATACACACACTCACACAAACACCCGCACACTCACATGTGCACACACACGCACAAACACACATGCACAAACACTCACATGTGCACACACACTCACACGCCCACACACAAACACACACACAAACACACACACACACACACACACACACTCATTTTTTTCCAGACAGGGTTTCTCTGTGTAGCTTTGCGCCTCTCCTGGAACTCACTCTGGTAGTCCAGGCTGGCCTCGAACTCACAGAGATCCGCCTGCCTCTGCCTCCCGAGTGCTGGGATTACAGGCGTGCGCCACCACCGCCCGGCATAGCTTTTAAAAACTATACTTCATACATTTATTTTATGTGTGGGGTCACGCACCCCAGGCACATGCGAAGGTCAAAGGTCAACTTGTGAGCGTCCCAGGGCAGAACTTGGGCCACCAGGCTGAGTGGCCAGTGCCTTCTTCGCCCGCCATGTCACAGGCTGGGACAGACTCTCACCACCACCCAAACCAGCCTGCGGCTGGTCATCCTCCTGCCTCAGCGCTCTCCAACGCTGGGACTCCAGGATGGGTCACGCAGGCTGCCGCAGACTTCGGTGGAGACCACAGCTGCGCGTGCGCCCCTCTCCCGGTCCGCCGTCGCTGGCTCCGGTGAGGACGCTGCCCGGCTGGGGAGGGGGTGGGGAGGGGGTGGGGGAGGGGGTGGGGAGGGGGTGGGGAGGGGTGCGGAGGGGGTGGGGAGGGGTGCGGAGGGGGTGGGGAGGGGTGGGGAGGGGTGCGGAGGGGGTGGGGAGGGGGTGCGGAGGGGGTGCGGAGGGGTGGGGAGGGGTGCGGAGGGGGTGGGGAGGGGTGCGGAGGGGGTGGGGAGGGGTGGGGAGGGGTGCGGAGGGGGTGGGGAGGGGTGCGGAGGGGGTGGGGAGGGGTGGGGAGGGGTGCGGAGGGGGTGGGGAGGGGTGGGAAGGGGTGGGGAGGGGTGCGGAGGGGGTGCGGAGGGGTGGGGAGGGGTGCGGA